TTAATTATAGTAAGAATTAATTCATGCTAATTTAGAATTAATACTATAATTAGTAGCCTCTTATTATTTCTGTGGTCCCTGCTATACCTAGTAAAAACCTGGACAGACTTGGGTAAAAAGTAGCTTGGGAGAAAAGTTACCTTTTGAGTTAGAGTAGGATTCTACTTGTAGAATCCTACACGATTTTAAGCTCTATTTAGGGTTTAATTTCGCATCTATAAAAGGTAGACTGGTTTCATCTAATTAATTACCCTAGAGTTGTGTTGTTCTTGCCCACCCAAAAGCAAAATTGTCCAACGTTTCACTAGGCAAATAGCAGAAGACTGCAGCCCTGGATTCTTGCTGCTTGGAAGGTTTGTGCAACTACTTCAAGAGGTTAGTGCTTCTAATCTCGTTATCATTACGTTGTCTAGTTTACATGTATTTAATGCCTGGTTGTATGCTTGCTTCCGCTGTACATAATCTAACAGTGGGAACCCTCCAAAACATGAAAACAATGCTTGTCCTCTTTGAGATTTTATTAGAAAATAGCCCCTCTCCAAGTCACTGACGTATATGCTCCATCCTTGGTTCAAGGATGATGTCTCAAGCAGGGAATGGTTGAGCATCGACATAAAAGCTTGACACAGATTGTTTTTTTTTCTCTTTTTCTAATTCTAGACCCAGTACATCGGTCGATATTCTCTGTTGATTATAAGATAAATTATTTGTAATACAAAGATTTTGTGTCTTGATTCAATTGTACTTTTTCAGCAATTATAATACCGTCAAGCTTTTATCATATACAAAACACCAAAAAGCTAATTGCTTAAAAATGTGAATGTTATATATATATATATATATATATATATATATATTATATATTATATTTTATATTATCACAAAAAAAAATTGCAAAGAAATATTCAAGGGAATGCCTTATAATTTTTATTATTACGACATTAACAAAAATGGCAATATCTTTCTTAGTCTTCCTCCCCCATATGGAATGAGCACAACAAGGTGTTAATACCACCATTAAAAGGAAAAAAACTAATGAAGATGTGCCAAAATACAAGTTACATATTAGTCTACATATTATCTCTAACAAATTTCATAACCCTTCAAGGTTCGGAGGAATTTCCGTTGGTGGTGGCGGAAAAGAAGCTTGTTCATCACCGCTTCCGGGCGAAGCAGCATCCTCCGCAAGTTCCGCTAGCATTTCTTCATAAGCTTCGTCTATCTCCGGTTGTGATTCAGCAAGTCCAAAATTTCTTTTTTCCGAACGGATCCAATCTCTGAAGAGTACTGATTTTTCCAAGCTCTCCCTCAGAGGCGCTCTATGATCACCTATTTGAAGTCTCGTTTGACTGAAAGTGCTCTCTGATGCCACTGTTGAAGCTTGAACACATAAAATATCTCTAGCCATCCTTGAAAGAACCAGAAAGTGTTTTTCTCTGGCCTTCCACCATTCCAAAAGATCAAAGGTGCCGTCTGGATTCTCTTTTTCAAGGCCCTGTGACAAATAAATTTGAAGCTCATTTAGATGTGAAGTATCATCAATATTATCACCTTGAGAACCCCTGAACTCCATCCAAGAACTAAGTGCTTTTAAGGCCGCAGTTCTTTTAGATGATTGCGAACTAGACGAAGTAGGAGTTGGAACATTTGGTCTAGCATGATCTAAGGCTTGTTGATAAGCATTATAAATTGTTTGAGTATTTATTTTAATTGAGGCTTTCGCATCTGCAAGTGTAGCTAATTCCTCATCTGAAAGATCTAAAGCCCTATAAATATTTGAATACCAAAAGTGAGGACCTCCTAATTTCATGGTAGGATTTAACATGTCAGCAACACCATAAATACGGGGGATAGGAAAAAAAATATTTTTTAAAATTTTCTTTCCTAGAATTTATAGCAAGTTGATAAATGAACCCACCCTGTGAAAATTGAACAAACAAATCACATAGTGCTGCAATATAAACTAAACAGTTTAAAATAGTAGGATAATATTGCCCAGACAATTCATTTGCAGCAGTATGAAATTGTTCTAAAAAATCTATACGAATTTTAACGTTAGTCCAATCTTGATTTGTAAGGATTTCTTCGTCATCCTCACCACCAACATGAGCATTAAACATTGCGTTTATTGGGTTTCTATATTCATATGCAACAACTAAACTTTCGTACATATAATTCCATCTAGTCGGACAAGCTTTAGGAACCTTTCTCTCTCTAAGGCCAAATTCATCATATTTTTTAAAATATTCTCTAAGTCTACTTCTACGGTTTGAATAAAAAAGCCAATTAAGAGCCATTTTAACCTTTTCAATTTCCAAATCTAAAATTTTCATACCTTCACTGACGATTAAATGATAAATATGATAAATACATCTAACATGGAAACAATTACTAAATGCAGGATTTAGTGTAGTTGTAAGCAAGCCTATAGCATTAGTGTTACTAGAAGCATTATCCATAGAAATTGATATTATTTTATCTCTAATGCAAAAATACTTACAAATATCTGCAATTGTGTTAGCAATAAACTTACCTGTGTAACGTGAATTAATTATTCTATAAGTAATAATGCGTTTTGCATTTTTCATTCTTCATCAATCCAATAAGTGATTATAGTAAAATAATTACAGTCATTACCACTTTTATCAATAGTGTAAACCAAGCCATTGATTATATCATTGTCATAGGTAAAGGACGAAAAGAAGAATTAACCAACGTGTCAATCGCTAAGCGCATCTAGGGATCCAACGCCCAACTGAACTAAAGAGGCCTTGCTTGATATGAAATCACTGCTATTTCTGTTCGGAATAAATAAATTAACTAATGTATCTATCTAACATCTGAAGGATTTGGATGATCAGTTGGTCACACCCTTTAATAATACGAAGCCAATATTAGTACTTCTTAGTTTTAGCTAACTAAATGCTCAACGTGTACCTGGAAAAAGTTAGTGCTACAGACCCAAATAATGTTGTAAATTACCTGGTAAAGTTGCTGCAATAGACATAACTTTATTTTTGCATATAGCGTCTTGAACCAGGCAAGGTACCAAACAAACTTGTTTAGACTGGGACGAGGCTGACATCCATTGACAGACACTTGAAGAACCACCTTTTGCTGCATTAATATATTAACAAAATAGCAATACTATAATATCAGTATTTCTACTAATTAAGCTACAACTTTGTGTAACACTATAAATGTCTATATAGTACCTTCATCTTCCCTTGTTCCTCAAAACTTCAGTTTTGGACTATCTTCGACACTTGAAGGTGCTGAGGCTAAATTAATAGTGTATACGTGTTCGACGCTTCAATGTGTGAGGTTACAATTAATTTTTGAGTGATCTGATTCTCCTTATCCTTAAATCACATGGAAAAATCTTATAATACTTGTTTTCTAGGAATGTTCAAACAGCCGCCACGGCATTACATTAAGGAAGTTGTATGATGGCTGTCTAGTATATTATCAGTTAAATATTCCTAAAAGTGTTAATTTGTCTCATTAGCAGGACAAAATAATAGTTGTATGTGAAATTAAAAGAAGCAAAATATTTCTAATATGAATCTTCCGAGCTGTACCCAAATGCTGACTTCTTGTAGTTAATTTGTAAAAGTATACTTTTTACCCTCGTCCTTTTCTTTTTCTAATTTTTCTCGTGTACACGACCTTTTCGAGTGTTGATGGCTGAGTGTACAAGAGATTATAAGCTTCTCACCATTAATTTTTAATACATTAACATAAAATATAACTTTGAACCACACAAACTTAAGATGACAAAATGATCATCTTTAATTAACCCAAATAATAAGTCAAGCAAGTTAAACTATTCAACATTAGTATCAGTTAAAGTCGAGAGTTGGGACATTCTGAGTAGGTTGACTTAAAAGACCAAACACCCGCACCGGATCTTGTTAAATCTTCGAGTCAGTAAACTCTTTATATTCTTTCCAGTCTTTGACGTTAGTATCCACAGAATTGATTATTTTTGCTTCCTTGAACTACACGCTAGTCATTACTTGTTTTCTTTATTTGCCCTCGTCCTATGGAACATAAATACTACTCATTTCGCCCCAATTTAGGTGGCGGAGTTTTAATTTCGAGAGTTAAACGAGTTTTTTTTTAATCACGATTTTTTCATGTCTTTAGGATATATTTCAAATTCTTTATTATTGTAACGTATAATACTTCTTATGTAGTTTCCAAATGTATAGATTTTGTTTCAAAAAACTTTAAAAATTTATGTCTAAATTCACTATTAAAATTAAGAAGTTTGTATATCAAAATTCGACATCCGCCCTATAAATCGAAACTAAATAGAACTGACAACCAATATGTTTGACTTCGTCAAGTTTGAAATTTAACTACTACCAAAATCTTTAGGCCGAATATATACTCTACACCTAAATTACCCGTAATGTTCAAAGTTCGATTTCATTCTGTTTTCCAAATGGAAACGGTCAAAAATAAAGTGGAATGTTGTGCGTACAAATGATACACCATTTTTAATGAACTTTTTAGAACAAGCATAATAGGTGAAAAAAAGAAAAGAACTTAGCATAATAAATACTATGGATTATTGCAAAGCAAATTACCTCTAATTTCCAAAGGCTCATTCAAGAAAATAGATTGAAAACAGATATAGTATTCCCCCACCTCCATGTTGGGCATTTCATATTTTGCTACAGCAACAGTTTGCTGTTTTCAATTGTGACACGAATTATCTAAGCTATTTCTGACAATTTAAAAGGATTGCTAGAGAAACGATTTAACATAACCAATCGTAATGACATAAAATGTTGTTTTGCTATGATACTCCAATTAACACGGGGTTTTTCCTATGGCAAAGGACAAGATTACCATCAAACCTTGGTCTAGCTCTGGTACTTTGAACGTATATTTTTCAAGCACTTCACATACGCGATCAACCTAATACGCAACGAACTTGTATTAAGATGGACTATCTAGATGTTACAAGAAATTAAGTGTCAAAATACACAGAGTAAAACAGAGAAATTAGATGTTCATTAAATCATTCCGTACAGATAAACAAGCACAATCTAAATGTCCACCGAGGATCCATCACATGAAAATCGTAGATAAGAACAGATCACTACAACGTGTCTAAAATTCCCACGATTTCCCAATCACTATTTCTCAAGTACGTACTCCTCGAACCAGCAAACTATCCTGTGACGTACATAGGATAGAAAAAAGAGTCCAAACGAGTTGGAAAAACAAGCAAAACATTACCAGCGAGCTGATGGAGTCAGTTTATTTTCGAACATCCACAGAGGATGTTACATCACTCAGCCACATAGAAACGGAAACTACATACCATGGAAATGTTAGAGCTCAAACGAATTCTGTTACCAATTCAGGGAGAAACATCAGCACATGCTTTCATATATCGTTTCTAACCAAGCTATTCACAGGATCTAGAACATGAGGAATCTTTGCCGGATTCAAACACTTCCACAACCTCAAACGCCATAAATATATAGAAAAAACAGGCAAGGAGAGAGGGCATGCAGCAGATGGGTTCCCAAGGGCTTCTTTTATCGTGCTCCAACGCTATCAATCCTCAATCAATGTTAATTTGGAAGAGTCATAACAACAACAGGCTCACACCAAAGGCAGCTAACAGATGGCCGGCATCAAGAAACACTTGGGAAGGATAACCGGTCTCGCAGTGTGTCAAAAATTGATGAAGCAGCTGCATTTTGGGCAAAAGTCTGCTTCAGCCTCCCAAGTAATTCATTATCTTTAGCCTGAGAAGCAGCATCGGCAGCTTCCTTGGCCATTCCAACTCGGGCATAAGCCTGTTAATGAATTCACAGATCCCATAAGCAAGAAAAATCACTTTAATTGACGCAGCAAATGCATTTTTACTGGTGATTATGTAACCCAATGTCTTTTCACATTCATCATCAGTTCATTCTCCTCTCTTCCTTTTTCATGGAAGAACTGGGTGTTGGGGTGGGAAATGCATTTATGACACTACATGCACTCAAATCAACCAGGTGGTCTATGTTAAAGAGTTAATGAAGTAATCATTCTCTCTTCATTATCGCTACCGCTCTGTGGATTGAAATAAGCTCACACAACTCCCTATGTTTTAAAAAACAATGCATATCTTGGTAAACCTATTCTGATATCTGAATCTGACTCATATTAGCTTTTTGCAACGATCAGACAAACGTACTTCCTTTTATATTAGTCGAAATATCTGTTGTTTTCAACTTCAAAACTCACCCAATAATGACCAAATGTGGGTAAAGTTCAAAACTCAAACTTAAACTACTTGAGTTATGTGGCATGTCAAACATGTCTATAGATCAAATGTGGGAAATCTCAGAACAGATAAACTATTACCTCTGCTCTTTCGCGAGGATCAGTCAGCTTTGGTATGTACTTTAGCGCTTCACCTTTCTCATCTGCATCAACACATGCCTCGACAAATGGGCGGTAACCTAGAAGAGAAAAAAGAGGAGAAAAGGGGATGACTATAAGATATCCATTACCCTTCATTAGCATGTATGCTATCTACAAACATGTCCACGGTGCCCCTTTCACTGGCAGTCACAAGAAGCAGAAATACATTTCACATGGCTACAAGAGAAAAGAGCTAGTTCAACACGGCTACAACAAACCTAGTTTAACCAAGAAACATTATAAAGCATACCAAGAATTTCAAGAGGTAAGTGTAGCTAACTGTCACTCTAGAGTGAAGCCGATTACACAAATTAACTTCCTCAGTCTCAAGACCTAAGCTAGCCAAGCCTGTAGCTATTACATTAGGTATGGTCATGGAGGGCACTCTAGAGCCGAGGGTCTTCCGGAAACCTCTCTACCGTCAAAAGGTAGGGGTAAGGTCTGCGTACAGTTTACCCTCCCCTACTTGTGGGATTTCACTGGGTTTGTTGTTGTTATGGTCATGGAGGGCACTGCCATAAAGGAGGGGTTAATACGGTAAAAGAAAAAAAATTGAAGATATCAAAAAGAGCAGCAGTACATACAGCAGTCATGTAGGGAAAAGCCATCTCTGCAGATGCCTTATTGTTTATAGTGAACCTCTATTAATGTGTAGGGCACAATTGCAGAAACTCCCAGATCAGGTGCCATAACGTACATATGACATTTTCTAATTCAAGCGTTAACTTTCAACCTAATTTCCTGCTCCTTGAAATGTAAAACCATCGTAAACCTATTTGAATTAAACTAACATCAATTTCCTAAATACAATTGATCACAACAATAAAGAGAAGATAAGTTAAAATTAATAATATCCTGATTATAATACAAATACCACAGTGAAAATGCATATAGAAATATTTCATTGAAATAATAGAGGAAGTCATAGATCCCTTCCTGTTAAGCTACTGAGGAAACTTACCAATTGGTGGCCTTTTCTCCTTTGAAAACTTCTCCAAGGCATCCCAATCCCTAATAGTTGCCAGAGCAAAAACTTTGAGCCAATACCAGCGCTTTTCCGAAACCTGAATCATCCAAGAAAGTATAATCAAGGGCAATTTAAATTGAACAAAGCCAAAAGTTTAACATGTACTTCAAAAGAGGGTACATAAATCACTAATAAAATAGAAAATAGAAGTATATCGTCACTGTGAGCCAAACAAGAAAGTAGAGACCTTAAATTCTGTTTTGACTTTTGCGGCAGCACGATGGTTCCCCAGCACAATGCATGTACGAATTGTATCACTTATACTTGAATCCACAAAGATGGCCTGTTTTGTAGTCACCTCCAACTCATGTTGCATCCTGTATCAGTATATGAATAATAAGACAAGCAAACGACATTTAAAGAGAAGTTAAGCAGAAATAAACAGTAACAAGAGAGAGAGAAGAGAGGGAGGTAGATGCATTCGGAGTTCACATTTTTGTGCAAGTAACCTGTTAGATTTGTTCCCACTTTTTACAAAATTTTATAAGAGAAATCCATAATATCACATAAACTGAAAAGGTTGCAGAAAGAAAAAACTATTCTAGAAGTATGTCGCTCTAGTTGTCAAAGAGCATCATTGCAACTACAAAAGATATCATGGCCCATAAACAAACATTTATTACTTGCTGAAGAGTGGTTGACAAAACTCAGAACTTAAATGACTTGGTTATTCTATAAAAGCTTGGGCTACTATCCTTGGCTGCAAACATAGGAAGAAAAGAATAGACTTTAGTCGGTGTATGAGACTTGGAAGGATGTATATCATCTTCTGATCTATTGCAAAGTCACCTCTAAACTCAGGTATTTATGTAGAATTCCAGAGCCACCATTCTGGCACCTTGACATAAATTAGATGCAAGTTCTACAAATTTATGCAGGAAAACTCATCCCTCGAATAGAAATTTATGGGAAGAAAGCACTAAAGATGACCTCGGTAATTCATGATACACCCCATCTAAGAAAAGTAGGGATCAAGTTGAGTACATAAGAGATGAGGCACATATATAGTGGATAATATAAAAGATAAGAATGTTATTTGACTCGTTGTAGTAACCATTCTGAAACTAGCATCTAATTTTAGCATTGCATGTTTTAATTGCAGCTAGTGCGCTTGACAATATAATAGAAAAAGGGCTTTTTAATCGTTGATTTAGAAATTTTATGTAGGAGCCTACATGTAAATCATAATGCAAAACTCAGCATCACTTTCAGCAGAAGAAAAATGGACCATCAACTCAAAGACAAATAAAGACAGGAAAAGTGGAAAAATAGGAAAAAAGGACTAAGGGCNTACATGCTGTCTTATCCCTTCAAAGCAAACTCTCTTTCTGTCCAGCCATGTTGTCCATAAGACACAGGGGGATTGTTCTCCACACTGGCTGCTGACTTCTTGCCACTTGTTGATGTTGCCATGTCTCCAGCAGACTTTTTACATTTTGTGGCATAACCCATTTGATACCATATAAACCAAGGAATAGCTCCCAACACTGTCTTGCCACTTTGCAATGAATGAGGAGATGATCGACTGTTTCTAATTCTTCTTCACACATACAGCATCTATTAATTAAAATAGTTCCTCTCTTCTGTAGATTATCCTGATTTAAACAAGCTTCCTTTGCTGCCACCCACCCAAAACATGCTACTTTAACAGGAGCTTCTGATTTCCATATTGCTTTCCATGGCCAATCAAATTCATACCTCCGTTGTTGCTTTTGTAAAAGAGTATAACCTCTGCTAACTATGAATTTCCCATCATTACTTGCTGCCCAAATCATTGAATCTCTCCTATTGCCCTCCAAACTGACACTCCTCAGCAATTGCATTAACTGGGCGAATTAATCTACTACCCCGTCATTAAGGCCCCTCCTGAAGATCAACTGCCAGCCATTACTTGAGTTAAAGCCTGCTACCTTCCCATTCTTGTCAGAGAAGCAGCGATATAAAACTGGAAATTTTGATTTGAGACTTTCATTCCCCATCGATACATCAAACAAGAATTGGATATTTTTACCATTCCCCAGCTTCAACTTTACAAACTGACTACAATCTTTCGATAGACTTCTGATAGTGCTCCAAAGTCTCCCTTTGGAAGAGGATTGGACTGCATGAGGATTCCAAAAATCCTTCCTTCCATATTTGACATCTATGAATTGTTTCCATAACCTATTGCTTTCATCATTATATCTCCAAAGCCACTAAAATAATAGGCTTTTGTTGTGCAGCCTTAAATTCCTTTCCCCCAAAACAATCTCTTTTGCTTTTCCATTTCTATGTTTTTAGAGCTAGTTATTTTTATGAACTACATTCGTCACCAGATGACAAGTCCTTACTTGAAAAACAAATGACATATTAGATTTACAATCCAGGTATCATTGGGACCATTGACATTTGCATCAAAATTTGTTCTAGTTGGGGATCATTATCAATTACCACCACTCATCCAGGTAATCTTGATTCTCTCTGCGTTGAGCTCCAATGCTTGTGTAACTTGTGATACCAAAACTTCGAACTGTTTCCATGTTAGAGTGCAGAGGCTAGAGAAAATGGAATGGCAGTAAGCCTGTTCTGCAGACTCTCAGAAGCTCATCCCCAAGCAATTTGTGCTTTGCAAAGCCAGGTATCTTCAAATTTCAATAAGATGTTTCTTTCCACCTCTGAAGTTCGTTTGGGTTAATATAGTTGCCATTACTATGCTACAACTTGCAGTACCGCATGTGTGCAGCCATAATGGAATTATCAAATGCCTTGATATATGGTCACAGATTGCGATGTGGTTCTTCTCAAGTAGAAAATGCCAAAATCAAGTACATAACATTGCCATCTGGACCTACTTGGATAAAGGAGGTGATAGTCAGTGATTACATTGCTTCCAAGTACAATGCTGCTTTATTTTAGTAATGATCCAAACATAAGAGGCCTGCCTCAGCTAGAAAAGAATGATCTTAGGATGGAAAATAGATGTCGCGTCCAAGTATGATACTACTTTATTCTATATATTCCAAACTATAGAGGCCTGCACCTTCTATAAAGAGATTGATGCCTGGATGGAAGATACGCCTGGTGAAACTTGTCCATTCTTTGGGCACTCGTAAGTTTAAGTTAAGTGTTTGAGCTGCTGGTTCATTTCTGCAAAGTTAATTCCGGCAATAAATGATGTACTTTCAAGATTTTGCACCTCTCAAGTACAAAGAAGGGAGAAAAACAAAAGCACCTGGTAAAGTTTTTCACAAAACTAGCGAAAGCGTTCTTCAAACTCACATGTAAGATGAAAAGAAAAGCGTTCTTCAAACTCACATGTAAGATGAAAAGAAACCTCACCCACACGTTCTTCAATCCCGCAAGATTGCAAGAAGCGTTGAATAAAGGAAGAACAATGAAATAAAAAGTAAATCAATAGCTTAGAAAAACTAATCACCAATGTTTATTCTCAGCATATTAAACCCTTTAAATAGGTCTTACAATGTGTAAAATTGGTAAGGTTAAGGAAAACTAATCCTAATTAAACTAGAATAAGAATAAGACTAAAAAAACCTATCCTAACTAAAATAGGAAAAAGAATTCTAGTAGGAATGGGCTACCAACTAACAATCCTAGTTTGACTAGAACTACAAATATAATCCTACTAAAACAAAGATTAAATTACTAGGAAACAAGAAATAAGAAATCCCTATCTGTAAGGAAAAGAAATCCTAATCTTGAATGGATTCTTGGACTTCTTCAATTTCTTGAAATTCTTGGGCCTCAATTGGACTAAGGCTAATTAGTGTAAGCATTTTAAATTCGCGGCCCAATTCTCCCAATCCATTGGCACCTTCATGAGCCCAATAAGCCTCCGTTGTTCTAGAAAACACGGCCACCATATGTTCATCATATATCAAATATACACAAAGTTCTCTTCAACATAGATTCGTCTGCCAGCACGACAAATCGCCTTCAGAATGTTCAAGCAGTTCTTCTGTGTGCTCAGAGGCTGGGTCACGTAATGCCCGACAGGGCAATTGCTAATAAAAGAACTTGAAGAGTTTAGGAGCAATGCATTAGCTGATTCAGTGAACAAACATCAGTGTCGGTTAATACTGCAGCGGATCAAATATGTCTCCAACCACTCGGAAAGCAAGTGAGTAGAACGTCATTCTTTCCTCTTAAATGGTAATGTAGCTCAAACAATAAGCCTTTGCCTGGAGCTGATTTTATATACCGAAGAATGCGGACAACTGCATCCCAATGACTATCACATGGAGAATCCATAAACTGACTCACAACACTCATAGGAAAGGAAATATCAGGTCTAGTCACTGTGAGGTAATTTAATTTACCAACCAACCGCCTATATCTTGCAGGATCGCTAAGAGGCTCCCCCCGTCCTGGCAGAAGTTTAGAATTCGGATCCATCGGAGTGTCAACAGGTCTACAACCTGTCATTCCTGTCTCCTCAAGAATATCTAAGGCATACTTCCGTTGTGAGATCACAATACCTAAGCGGGACTGAGCGACCTCAATACCCAGAAAATACTTTAATCTGCCTAGATCCTTAGTCTGAAAGTGCTGAAAGAGATGTTGCTTCAACTTACTAATACCATCCTAATCATTGCCGGTAATAACAATATCGTCAACATAAACGACCAGATAAATACAGAGATTTGAAGTAGAATGTTGATAAAATACAGAGTGATCAGCTTCACTACGAGTCCTGCCAAACTCCTGAATAACTGTGCTGAACTTACCAAACCAGGCTCGAGGAGACTGCTTTAGAGCATAGAGGGACCAACGCAACCGACATACAAGGCCACTAGACTCCCTCTGAGCAACAAAACCAGGTGGTTGCTCCATATAAACCTCATCCTCAAGGTCACCGTGAAGAAAAGCATTCTTAATGTCCAACTGATAGAGAGGCCAATGGCGAACAGTAGCCATGGATAGAACAAGGCGGACTGATGCAATTTTAGCCACGGGAGAGAAAGTATCACTGTAATCGAGTCCAAATATCTGAGTATATCCTTTGGCAATAAGACGAGCCTTAAGTCGATCAACCTGGCCATCTGGACCAACTTTGACTGCATACACCCAACGACAACCAACCATCGATTTACCCGAAGGAAGAGGAACAAGCTCCCAAGTACCACTTGTATGTAAAGCAGACATCTCGTCAATCATAGCCTGTCGCCATCCGGGATGAGACAGTGCTTCACTTATAGATTTAGGGATGGAAACAGAGGACAAAGATGACACAAATGCACAATGGGATGATGAGAGACGATGGTAGCTTAAACCGATATAATGAGGATTAGGATTAACCGTGGACCGTATACCTTTTCGTAGTGCAATCGGTTGATTAAGAGGAGACAAGTCCGCAGTATTAGCAGGGTCAGGTGCAGAACGTGAATCAGCTGGGCCTGATGCTGGGGGCGGACGACGATGATAAGTCAGGAGTGGTGGAGCTGTAGAAGGTTGAACTGGACTAGGTGGTGGCACTGGAGCGATAGTTGGTGAACTGGACTAGGTGGTGACACTGGACTCGGTGGTGACACTGGAGCTATAGGTGGTGGAGCTGCAACTGGAACTGTAGGCGGTGGAGCTATGGAGGAAGATGAATGGGAGATAGGGACTGAATCTCCAAAAGAAGGAACAGGTATATCTAAGTGATTAACTGGACCTGTGAAGTATGATTGGGTTTCAAAGAAGGTAACATCAGCAGACATAAGAAATCGCTGAAGGTCAGGAGAATAACATCGATATCCCTTTTGCGTTCTCGAGTAACCCAGAAATATGCACTTAAGAGCACGAGGAGCTAACTTATCTTTTCCTGGAGTAAGGTCATGAACAAAGCACGTACTCCCAAAGACACGGGGTGGAAGAGAGAACAAAGGTAAGTGGGGAAACAGGACAGAGAATGGAACTTGATTTTGGATAGCTGAAGATGGCATGCAATTAATAAGATAACAAGATGTAAGAACTGGATCCCCCCAAAAACGCAACGGAACATGAGATTGTATTAGTAGGGTACGAGCAGTTTCAATAAGATGTTTATTCTTTCTTTCAGCTACCCCATTTTGTTGGGATGTGTACGGACAAGATATTTGATGAATAATCCCATGGGAGTTCATAAATTGCTGAAATGGGGAAGACAAATACTCTAGGGCATTATCACTACGAAATGTGTGGATAGAAACCCCAAATTGATTTTGAATTTCAGCATGGAAGGTCTGGAAAATAGAAAACAACTGAGATCGATTTTTCATCAAAAATATCCAAGTGCACCTGGAATAATCATCAATGAAACTGACAAAGTAGCGGAATCCTAAGGTAGAACTAACTTGACTAGGACCCCAAACATCTGAATGGACTGAAGTAAAAGGTGACTCTGCTCGATTATCAAGACGCCGCGGGAAATGGGAGCGGGTATGCTTACCGAGCTGACACGACTCACACTCTAAAGTGGACAAGTGAGATAAGCCAGGTACCATTTTCTGAAGTTTTGACAAACTGGGATGTCCTAACCGTTTATGTAATAAATCTGGTGAATCAGTAACGGGAGAAGTTATTGGAGGAAGACAAGATGCGAGTCCATGTGATTTTGCAAGGATAAGGTAATAAAGTCCATCTGATTCACGTCCGGTACCAATGATCCGCCCTGTACTACGTTCCTGTATAAAAACAAGGTCATCAAGAAATAAAACAGCAGATTTAAGTGATTTGGCTAAGCGACTAACGGCTATGAATTAAAAGGACTACCAGGAACATAAAGAACTGAGTCTAAAGGTAAGGAAGGAAGTTGACTTGCTTGACCTATTGCAGTTGCCATGGCTTGAGACCCATTGGCCATTGTGACTGTTGGAAGAGATTGAGAATATGAGATACTAGTGAAAAGAGATTTATTACCAGAAATATGATCAGATGCACCTGAATCAATGACCCAAGACTCAGAAGGTGAAGATTGGGAGACACAGTCATGCTACTATTTGTTGGAACAACGGAGGTTAATCCTGAAGATGTCTGTTTACGTGCTTTGTACTGAAGGAACTCAATATAATCCGGTAAAGAAACCATCTGGATTGGATTTAATGCATTCGATCCAACGAATTGTGAGTCTAAGGCTTCTAATAAGAATGACATTATAATGTTTACGCCGGCAAAAGGTCAAAAAATTGTTTGGAAGTCACTGTTTCACTGTTACTGTTCATCGGAAACACTGTAGCTCGCCGGAAAATAAAAAAGTCGTTGGAATCTGATGTAAACTTGATAGGTAGGCTCGGAAAAGCAAGACGATTACACTGTTCAAAAGAAACTTTCTCCAAAATCTGGCCGGAAACACTGTAGCTCACCGGAAAATTCCAAAGTTGTCGTAATTTGTTAGGGATAGCACTGGTCGACTCGGAATTGAGGTGCGAGTGACCTTTCTTGAAGGAAGTTCGCCGAAAAATGGCTGGAAGGGGTCTCACACGCCCGGCGCGTGCACAGATCTCGCCGGAAAATTTTCACTCTGTTCGGCGCGTGAGGGCGCGTGGTAGTGAGTTTTCCGGCGGGTTTTGTTGGGATTTGGTCGCGGGGCTACGACGGACCTTGTGGTGGTGTTGGTTTGTTCACAACACTGATAAATAATGACTTTGATGTAAACAATCACTTAGGTCACCGGAAAATTGCACGGTGACGACTGATTTCTTCCCGGATGTCGTTGGAATGACGCACAACGATAATTATCTCACCAATGCTCTGATACCATGTGAGAATGCACAGGAGAAAATATTATTAATTAATTAAATTGACAATGATACAAAGAGCCCTATATATATAATACATGTCCTACTCCTAATACATATGGGATTAGGGTTATTTACTACTATTTAAGTATCAAACTAACAAAGCATATCATTTAACTGATCCGAGTGATGGAAGGATTACTCGGCACTTAAAGGTCAAGATCTCTACTTCTCTTTATTGTTATAGTTGATCATCGTTTCTTTTATGCTTTGCATCTTTGTAAATTGTAATCATGACGAAAACATCTTTTTCCAAAGTCACACATTGATTAAATGTATGGGCTATTATCTTTTTCATATGGTTTTGGACAATTCTTACCGTTTGAGCTAACTTTTGTTATGAGTTAAGCCCAAGATCCATTTTCTTAACGTGGTATCAGAGTCGAATCCACCATGCTATTCTGCTATTCGTTGTCGGGCCACTCATGTTATGTTACTCTGTGCTCTATATGTCGAGCCCTGGGTGTGCAGGAGATGTTAAAATCGCTCACCAGTCAAATGTAGGGCTGTAATCTCCTCGTGCGGTTTTGAATAATTCTCACCACTTGAACTTTCGGGATTGAGTTAGGCCAAAGGTCCACTTCCTTAACTAGCTTAATGGTTTTTATACAAAATTGGCTGCAATAGTGCCAATGAGAATATGTCTCCATTTTATCCTCTTTTGCTTGTGTAATCATAGTGGTCTGTTATTAATTTTTTACAAGTGGTAGCAAACCTATTAAAAATACTCTTGATTTTCTTTTCTAAAGAGTGCAAGCCTGTGTTTCGACGAAAAACGGTTGCAAGATTTTTTCCAAACAACTTTTTTAGTGTTCTGTAAAGTTTTTTGAGTCTTATGGCACACAATCTGAAAAACTAGCATATTCCTTTAGTTTTAATCTTGTTACTGGTACCATTTCTGAAACACATAAAAGCTTTTTAGGACATCTAAAAACTTGTCAACTTTTCTCTATTTAAAAGTTCTGCAAATGGTGTTTAATGTGTTCATGCGAACTAAAACTCTTATGTACATAAGCCCCCATGCAGAAATAGCGGATTTCTATGTGTTGCCAAAGCGTGGTGTTAAAGTTACATTTCTTCAGCTTTTAGCATAAAATCAGTTTTGGATCTATCAGGTTGTAAAATTTGGTTAAATACAAAATTGTTAAAGGAGTTTAAATAATGAGAGCATAGTGTATCAAATGGGCCATGAGCCGACCGGTTAGTTATGCGCTAATAATATTTTGTATTAGTATGGGTTGCGTTGTTTGACTGGAACTATTGCTCAGGTGAATTACTATTTATTCGTAATTCTTGGAAAACTAAGAGGCAGCATCTACTGACATTCATAATTTTGCAGGTTCTAAATTTGACTGAGATAGAACTTAGTCGGGTGGATTTACAAGTTGGACTTTCTGGTGGATTATATTTCATGGATGGATCTCCTCAAGCAGTACGCCAGCTCCGCAACCTTAATTCACAGGTTAGACCTTGTCCTGAGACCGTCATGCTTATTTATCAAGTTCAGTTTCCTCCCTCATGGATGTGTTTCTCCTGCCGACAAAAGACAAAACTACTTTGCTCATTGAACATGTTATATTTGTCCCCCTTCTAGATGCATCTTCTCCTCTGACTTTCGTGTCATGACTTTGGTTACTGTCAAACGCTAACCCCATCAAATAGGTATGGTTGTTCCTTGAGCCGACTTTGGCAGCAGCAGCAGCTAATTGATATTGTAGAGCTATTAACATCATTTTTATCAAAACTGCTTCAACCTCAAGATACCATAACTACAAAATACTATTGAATGATTGACATTATTACTGTGTCAAGTGGTGAAAATTACTTGTTGCAGATTAACTTGTTGAAAACAAAAGAAAAAGACATAATAAAGAAGTGAAAACTAAAAGATTGCAACTGCATAATAAAAGCCTATTGATGATGTGGCATGGTAATACAACAGCAATGTTGACACCTACTGGAGGAAGGTGTTAAATGCTAAACATGGAGGCAAAATCAGTGGTGCACTAGCGCGGTGTCCTTCCCGTATGGCTTGGGACCCTGGAAGCACATACCCAAAGCTATTGGAGACTTCAAAAATAATACCTGCTTTGAAGTGGGTAACGGAGAGAAGATAAGTTTCTGGCATGACTTACTAGATTTGACATAATACACTGAAAGTGGTGTTTCTAGTCTTATTCCTGTTTTTCTCTTACCAAAAGCTACTATTGCTCAATGTAGAAGATGGAACATTGTCTTCAGGAGGAACTGCCCAGACTTGAAGATAGGAAGTCTCTTGGCTGTAATGAGAAAGTTGGACCAGGTGATTGCGGATATGCTGGAAGAGGACAGATTGATGTGCCGATATGAGGCACAGATAGCAAAGGCATTTCCACAGTACGGCATGCTAACACGCCACTTAGATCCAATATCTGGAAGTTAATCTTGAGAACCAAAGACTCAACAGAAATTACACGTGCCTTCGTTGGGTAATGTTGCATAAGGCTTGCCTCACTTGAGTTAAATTTAAGAGAAAGCTCTTTGTTTTCCTGCATAAAATGCTATCTATGTAATGCTATCTATGTAATGCTGAGTGCATATAGGGAAGATGCCCACCACCTCTTCCTGCTTGTTGCAAGGGATAGTAGGAACATGTACTAAAATCTTTTTGCCGTGCACCATAAAGGCATCTTATATCAGTTGGGATGATTGGAGGATGGAGAAACTATCTAGGAGTTACAGCGAACTATCCGTAGGTTGCATATTTTGGATGTTATGGATAGAGAGAAGTCTGAGGTGTTGAGGGGGTATCAACTCCCATGACTTCCCTAGGCGCAAGATATCTTGTGCTGTACTAACTTTTCTTAGTACTGTAAGTCACATAAATCGGTTTGTGGATTTTGTTAGCTTCTTTATATATATATATATATATATATATATATTTTACTTCACCAAGAAAGTAAAGAAGTGAAGACAGTGCTGCATTGCAGTTTAGTGACAATGACCTAAAATAGTAATATGTAGTTAGATGACAAGAAGATAATCTAGGATATACTCTTGAAATTCCCCCAAGTAAGGTTGCTACGGTGCATGTGGAATGCAGGAGGAAGGATGTCACGACCCGGATTTTCCGCCCTCGGGAGTCGTGATGGCGCCTACTAATGAAAGCTAGGCAAGCCAAATTTAATTACTTATCCATTAATAATCTAATCCATTTAACAATTTACGACAATAATACAAAAACAACGAAATTCAATAATAAGCGGAAGTCTTATCATTTTATAAAGCTGGATGGAAATGCGGAAGGTTCAACAAAATTCTCTACCAAAGACTGGTGTCACTGCACTCACGAACTGCTAAGAATACTACATACAAACGTCTGAAAAAGAATATAAGCTGTTTGTCTCGATTACAATGAGATAACAGATAAAAATAAAGGATAGCGGAGACGCCGGGCCTGCGGACGCCTGCAAGGCTACCTCGGTCTCCCTGAAATGAAGCCTGCTCTCACACTACTGCTGCTGCTGCTCGAAACCTAGATCTGTGCAAAATAACACAGAGTGTAGTATCAGCAGAACCGACCCCATGTGCTGGTAAGTGTCTGGCCTAACCCCGGCGAGGTAGTGACGAGGCTAGGACCAGACTCCAGATAAACCTGTACAGATATATATATATATATATATATATATATATATATATATAAGTACAACAGAAAAATAGCAAGAAAATAACAATTTAAGCTGGGGAAGGGAGCATGCTCAGGGGTAACAGATAGAAACAAACTATCAGGAATAATGGTACGTACATCTACAGTTTAACTTCTAACAATAATGAAAAGATAAGACAACTTTCATATTCAACTCATCTTGTTACAGGCGTGCAACCCGATCCCATTTCTCAATATCTCGTGGTAGGCGTACCACCCGCTCCCATTTCAATATCACTCGTGGTAGGCGTACCACCCGCTCCCATTTCAATATCACTCGTGGTAGGTGTACCACCCGCTCCGTTTACTTACAACACAATACACAATACAATCCCGGCAAGGGAACAATCAAATTAATACTCTTCCCGGCAAGGGAACTATAACAACGGGAACAATCAAATTAATACTCTTCCCGGCAAGGGAACTATAACAACAAGTCAAACATCCCGACAAGGGAGAGTCAGCTATAACCAATCCTATTCAACTTCTTCCTGGCACAACTAATACCAATATTTAGTCACAACGTCCATAGGATCAAACAAGGGTACACAATTATCAAATTAAGACTCACGGTCATGCTTGACACCGACGCATGGATACTCGTCACCATACCCCTACGTCGTACTCAACATAAACAAGTAGCAATTATAGACTCAACTCCTAATCCCTCAAGCTAGGGTTAAACCAACACTTACCTCGATGCTTTGAACTCAACTCAAGCCTCAACTATAGCTTTACCCCGTGATTCTACCTCCAATCCGCTCGAATCTAGTCACAAGTCACTTAATTACTTTAATAANGTCGCTGGAATTGAGTTCTTATTCAAAGAGAAAGATCTCAAATATCTGGAGTTTCTTTTTGTATATTATATGGATGATCCGATCCGCAAGGACCGTGATTGGGAATTGTTTGATCGTCTTTCTCTGAGGAAGAGTCAAAATAGAATCAACTTGAATTTGGGACCGCTATTCGAAATCTTAGTGAAACAGCTCTTCTTCACATAGGTAACACCTATTGCACAGGCTTAAACCTCTTCTCTGCAAATTGTCCAGAGTTAAACAGGCTCCCCAGGCTGCTATCCACCCGAAGCAAGCTACCTTGACTGGAGCTCTGATTTTCCAAATAATCTTCCAAGGCAAGTTGTTATGTCTGTGATTTGATTGTTCTATCAACCTGTCGTAACAGCTTTTCACAGAGAAAGTTCTATCATTACCGGCAATCCAAATCAAAGAATCCACCTTGTTATGATCAACAACAACTTGTCCTACTAACTGCGTCAATTGGCAATAATCCTCAATTTCCCAATCATCCAAATTCCTTCTCAGAACTATCTGCCAACCTGTATCTGAGTAGAAATCCGAGATGGTGTACCATCCTTGTTAACAGAATAATTGTACAAATTAGGGAATCTAGATTTCAGACATGCATCCCCTATCCATAAATCTGTCCAAAGTTTGATTCTTTGTCCATTGCCAACTTCCAATTTAGTATACTCCAAAAATTCTTCCCATAGTCCGCTAATGCACTTCCATAAACCACCTCTTGCCTTCATGTGTAGAGCAGGAGGTCTCCAGCCTTTCTTATTTCCATAAATGGCATTAATCAAATTCTTCCTAACTTTATTATCTTCCAGAATGTATCTAGGGATGGAAAACGGTGCGGTGCGGTTGCAGGGCAAACCCGCAAAGATTTCAACCCGCTCCGCATAGATTTGCACCCGCATCCACCCGCCCCACACCCACACCTGCGTCCACCCGCACCGCATAAGTTTTTTTTTTTTTTTTTAAAGTTTGTTTTAATTAATTTTATTGCTGGATTTTCGATTCCATCAACCAACTGAATTGTTCAATTGGATTGGAGGATTTTGAAATTCATAATGGGAATGCCGAAAATGACAAAAACTTGAACGTTATACGATTCTGGTTGGCCGCTATTATTTATTTGTATGATTTTTTAACTGACAAAAATTTTTGTGCAACAAACTTTTCATTAGATGATTAAGTGATAAATGTTAATAATTTAATCATAAAAATATTTGTCTAAACTACATTTTATATTCCGTTAAATGTCTAGCTTTCTCTTTTATTCAAAATTTCTAACTTAATTAACATTTCACTAATTAAAAGGTGTACTTAAAAGAGAAGAAGTTATAAATGATTTAGTTTGTTTTGATTAAGTATCAAATATTTAAACAGTTATTCTACTATTTTTGTCGCATAGCTTGCTCATGAGTCATGTCTTACTGGGTAATACAATAGGTCAAATCCAGTAAACTTGTGCAAACCCGCAAAAACCCGCGTAGACCCGCAACCGCCCCGCCCCGGCATTAGCTTTTTAAAAAACTATTTCAACCCGCCCCGCAACCACCCCTCACCGCGTAGCTTTAAACCCGCTCTGCCGCCTTAAATCCGCTCCGCTCCCGCACCGCCCCATTTGCCACCCCTAAATGTATCTCCAAAGCCATTTGAAAAGTAGGCTTTTATTATGCAATTTCAAATTCCTTACTCCGAGACCACCTCCTTTTTTATCATTCAATACTATCTGCCATTTTATTAAATGCGATCTCTTTTTAGTAGCATTCCCTTCCCATAGAAATTGGTTTCTCAAAGAATTCATCTTTTTTTTCTACTACAGCAGGCATTGAGAATAAAGACATCAGATATGTTGACATACCATCCAACACACTATTAATTAGAGTGAGCCTACCCCCACAGGATAGGTACTGTTTTTTCCAAGAATTAGCTTACTTGCACATCTGTCCAGAACCCTTTTCCATATATTAGGATCATTTTTTTTTGCCCCCAAAAGAAGCCCTAAGTAAACTATTGAGAACTTCTCCACTTTACAATCCAAAATATCAACCGATTCATCAAAAATATCATCAACATTTATACTGAAAATGCTACTTTTTGCCAAATTAGTCCTCAAACCAGCTTCAAAAGTTAAAAGAACTCCTTTGAGGTAAAACATGTGTTCTTTCTCTGGCTCACAAAACAATAGAGTATCATCAGCATATAGAATGTGAGAGATTGAAACCCTGTCTTCGTCAATACTTCTAAAGCTCATTCCTTTTATCCATCCTAATTCTTCTGCCTTCATTAACATCTTATTGAGAACTTCCATTACCAGAGTAAATAAACAAGGGGATAAAGGATCTCCTTGCCTCAATCCTCAACACAGAGAACCTGACGGTGGAGATACGATAACCGATCCATTCAATCCACTTCTCACCAAAATTCATCTGCTTCATTATGCTTAACAAACAAGACCAATTAACATGATCATATGCCTTTTCTAGTTCAAGTTTGCAAGCAACACCTCTCTTCTTCCTTTTCAATAGATCTTCCTTTTATTAGTCGACATAGATGCATCTGTTATTTGTCTACCCTTAATGAAAGCATTCTGATTCTCAGAAACTAGTTTGCCAATGCCATCATAGAGGGATCAACGTGTAAACTTGAAGGGCTAGAGAACTCCTTTAGCTCAATAATGAAAGTTAGGGTAGGCGCAGTGAACTGTAATTGTGAAAAGATTGGAAGATCTGGCCAAAGAAGGTGATAGCCCTATAGATTCGTTCCCATGTCTACCCTTAATGAATGCATTTTGACTCTCAGAAACTAGTTTGCTAATAACCAATTTCAGTCTTTCTGCCAAAAGCTTTGCTAGAATCTTGTACACACTCCCCAATAGACTAATGAGCCTAAAATCTTTCACCTCTATGACCCCCTTTTTCTTGGGAATCAAAGCAACAAAAGTAGAATTTAGGCTCCTGATAAAAATCCCTTTTTTATGAAAACTTTCAACAGTTCTCCACACATCATCCTTTACTTACTCCAACATTTCTGAAAAAACATAAGGTTGAAACCGTCAGGGCCTGGGGCTTTGTCACCTCTAAAAGATTTGATTACATCTTCCACTTCCTCCATTGTAAATGGTCTCTGCAGTCATTCCTTATCATCATCCGAAAGCCTTTTAAGAGTCTCATCCTCCCACCTTGGCCTCCAATTTTCATTCTCTTTGAATAGTTTTTCATAGAATCCCTGTATGTGTTCCTTTATTAATTTCTCATCCTCCACCCAAACATCATCAATCACTAATTTGTCAATGCAATTAAATCTTTTATGGGCATTGGCTTGTCTATGGAAATTTTTTGTATTTTTGTCCCCATGTTCTAACCATAAGCATCGAGACTTTT